ACTTTCTTCCATTAGTTTGATTAAAACTTCAGACAGTGTAGTACAGTTTGTATTAACTACCACGTATTCTGGTAGTACTTCACTTTCTTCCATTAGTTTGATTAAAACTTCAGACAGTGTAGTACAGTTTGTATTAACTACCACGTATTCTGGTAGTACTTCACTTTCTTCCATTAGTTTGATTAAAACTTCAAATAATGGACTACAGTTTGTATTAACTTCCACCTATTTCGGTATTACTTCACTGTGTTTTATTAGCTTCATTAAAACACCAAACAGTGGACTACAGTTTGTATTAACTTCCACATATTTCGGTATTACTTCACTGTGTTTTATTAGCTTCATTAAAACACCAAACAGTGGACTACAGTTTGAATTAACTTTCACGTATTTCGGTATTACTTCACTGTGTTTTATTAGCTTCATTAAAAACACCAGATAGTGGACTACAGTTTGAATTAACTTTCACGTATTTCGGTATTACTTCACTGTGTTTTATTAGCTTCATTAAAAACACCAGACAGTAGACTACAGTTTATATTAACTTCCACGTATTTTGGTATTACTTCACAGCGTTTCTTCAGCTAGATTAAAACTTCGGACAGTTGACTGCAGTTTGTATTATCTTCCACGTATTCCTGTAGTACTTCACTGTGTTTTATTAGCTTTATTAAAACACCAGACAATGGACAACAGTTTGTATTAACTTGAAATTTTGTGCAGGTATTAAGGTGAACGGGATTTGAATTGATTTTAATTTCGTTTACAGTAATTCAGTAGTATTACCAGTTTGCTGCCATTGTAATGATTGTTTTATGTATGTAAATTTATTCAAATACTTTTACTGAAAAAGTTTCATTTACTTATTTATATGACATATTTAACCAAAAGAAAATTTAAACAAATAAGAAGTTTACTTATACGTCCAATATTTCAAATCACGTATTCTGTATAGATCATATGAGTTTCTACATAGAATATCTTTAAGTTACTAACGAATCTATAGACAGGTATATCTGAACTCACTACAGTTATGTTTTTTCAGGTGCTACGACGGTGCTCACACTGGTTACAATGGGATTTGGTGGAAGAACTTCTTTACCTAAGGTACCCTACCCGACAGCTTTAGACTGGTTTGTAATCACCTGTTTCGCTTTTGTGTTTGCTGCCATGGTTGAGTATGCATGTGTGCAGTTAATGGGGCGGTATGATGAAGAGAGACTACAGGCTCGTTTTCATAACAAGCAGAAAAACAAGAACCACTCTGACGATGACAGCAGGGTAAATCTCCGGATTAAAAAATCAGTTAGAGCTAAAAACAAAAGTTTGGCTTATAATTTTTCGATTAAAGAAGTCCGATGAAAACAAAATTTTGGCTTATATTCTTTGGGTTAAATGTATCTGAGGAAAAGAAATGTTTGTCTTACAGAACAGTCATATGTCAGCTGGTTTAATTTAGGTTAGAGAAATCAGACCATAAATATACAGAAACTATTTGTCTTTAGAACACAGAGACAATGACAGAAAGGTAAAGCTTTCTGTTTAGAAGAGGACTGTACAGAAAGTTTTTGTGTTTAGAACACACAGACAAAGATAGCCAGGCAAAGTTTTCTGTTTAGACAAGGACTGTGCAGAAAGTTTTTGTGTTTAGAACACAGACTAGGATAGCCACGTAAAGTTTTCTGTTTAGAGGAGGACTGTACAGAACGTTTTTGTACTTAGAACACACAGACAAGGATAGCCAGGTAAATTTTATGGATAAATGCCTTATGGATATTGTAAATGAAAGAGTTTTTATACAATAAAAATAGGTTTTAGATAGGCTAAACTTGTATATAAAAATACTATTTTGTATAGATTTGTACCAAATGAGATAAAAAAAACGCAAAATTAATACCAATAATGATAGAATTATTAACCATAAAAGTTGATTTCCTTAACTTAGATATTTTGTTTATTGAAATACAGCTTGAAGAATTAAGCACTAAAGTTTCAACAAGGAAAATCAGAAAACTAAGGACATGCCCAGAAACTAAGACTCGAAGAAACAGGTGTTTTGTAAATAGACTGGGGCATTGTTTTAAGAGCAAAAGAAACAATCATTCTGAAACACACGAGGTTGACGAAATGTTACCTTCTAGAGCTGATCAGATTGATACCTACTCTAGAGTTTTTTTTCCTCTTACGTTTACTCTGCTCAATCTTCTGTACTGGGTTTTGTATCTCTATACAATTGGTGACGAAATACCGGATGACCTGGCTTAGCAGGAGAACTTGGTGATAACTAGAGGACCTGATTCAAAAATATGTAAGTTAATCATGTGAAGTAGTTCAGCAGGGGATGTGATAGTAAGAGAACCCAATCCAAAAGGAGTTGTGATAGCCAGAGGGCCTGGTTCAACAAGAATTGTGTTAACCGGATCAAGTAGTTCAACAAGGATTGTAATAGTAGGAAAACTTGGTGATAACCAGAGGGCCTGGTTCAACAAGAATTGTGCTAACCGGATCAAGTAGTTCAACAGGGAATGTAATAGTAGGAAAACTTGGTGATACCCAGAGGGCCTGGTTCAACAAGAATTGTGTTAACCGGATCAAGTAGTTCAACAAGGATTGTAATAGTAGGAAAACTTGGTGATACCCAGATGGCCTGGTTCAACAAGAATTGTGGTAACCGGATCAGTAGTTCAACAGGGATTGTAATAGTAGGAAAACTTGGTGATAACCAGAGGGCCTGGTTCAACAAGAATTGTGTTAACCGGATCAAGTAGTTCAACAAGGATTGTAATAGTAGGAAAACTTGGTGATAACCAGAGGGCCTGGTTCAACAAGAATTGTGTTAACCAGATCAAGTAGTTCAACAAGGATTGTAACAGTAGGAAAATTTAGAGATAGCCAGATATAACAAACAGAAGAACCTGACCTATGACAAATACTGTTTTCAATGCCAGTGTTATGTGAGATGATTATGAACAGGAGAACCAGATCAAACAAAGGACCTGTTATAAAAGTTGTTCTTCGCTAGATTCTGTTGCTCACGTTACCTGAAAGAAAGGATTGGTCACAAAAGTTGTTTTTAGTTAGTGTTGTGTTGCGTACGTGACCCAGGACAAATAATTGGTCATTTCAGTTGTTGTTAGCTAGTGTTGTGTTGTTTACGTGACTTGGGACAAAAGATTGGTCATTAGAGCTGTTGTAAGTTTGTCCACATGACTACTGAGCAAACAGAAATAACCTGACTTCAATTTGGTTAAAAAATATACTTGAAATTAGCTTGAGTTGTGATATAACTTATGTCTACTTTTTATATTTGATAATCATAAGAATGAAATGTTGACATTTTTGAATAAATTTATTTTTATCAAATTATGACCGTAGAAATTGATCCAAAACTGTGTGCATTAGTGTATCGTGTGAGTTTTCTAGATTGGGATGATAATAGTAAGGATATTTTAAACAAAGGTATGGCAGTACTTTGAATTTTCGTCATATAAATTCATCTTGGTATTTATTATACATGTTTGACGACTTTGCAACTTGATTTATCTCACAGCCATAAGAATCTATCCAACAGAGAGACAGCAGTCATGAAATTCTATTGCACAGAGAGACAACAGGAGTCATGAAATTCTATTCACAGAGAGAGAACAGCAGTCAAGAAATTTCATCCCACAGAGACGAGAGACACAATAATACAACTAAAAAAAGGAGTCTCTGTCTTTCATAGATACGATGAAAGTCTCGAGAATATATCCTTCAAAGAGGCAAAGTGAGCCCCAATAATATGTCTCTCAAAAAGCCAGGAAACCACTACCACTTGAGAAATAATGGGAAACATGTTAATACATCCCCTATAGAGACAATGGAAAACTAGATGACGCATCTCACATAAATACAATGGGAAACCTAAGGATACATCCCACGTAAAGACAGTAGGATACATGATGATACATCCCACGTAAAGACAATAGGATACATGATGATACATCCCACGTAAAGACAATAGGATACATGATGATACATCCCACATAAAGACAATAGGAT